TAGAACTTGGATACCACTTTATTATGGACCAAAAATTATAATCAAAAAACATATTAAAAAGTTTATTGATGGTCTATGAGAAAAAACTATGGATATTTATATAAAGAACTCGGATAGTTCTAGGGAGAATTTTAAGCGCCTTATTAGATCATGATGTAATAATCTGGTGGTAGTAAATAATTAACATGTCTTTAAATTTAGCCCTTCATTACTAAGTATATAAATATTTTTCAGAGGGATCAACAGTTATAACATCAAATGACAAGAATAATATTTGTATTCAGGATCTATTAATATTCTACAGTCCAGGCCCATTCGATTGTATTGCTTTTGCAGAATAAATATTTACTCGCCACAGGGATGTTCCCTGTGTATAGACTCCAACGGTAGGATGAGAACAAGCGGGGTAATGTGTGATCTATGATAAACTTTTATATTTATTATTTATCCTTAATGTGATGTTACAATTAACTTTATTATTATATCTATGATATCCTCAACACTCCCATATTTTGTCCTCTAATACCGTTGTTCCTTTTAACCACAATAGCATGTGTACATGAGGTGATCCAATTTTACATATATGAATTAAGTTCTCAATTTTTACAGAGATAAAATTCGTACCTCTATGTTGGGATTCAACCCTGAAAAAGTACTCTGAAATTCCATGCCCAAAAAAAGGACCATCTTTTTCAGCCCAAGTTTTCTTCAACTCACGAAATCTATGATCAAAGTATCTAGCACCTGTAACAAGATCACTTTTTAATAATCCTGCTTTCTCGGCAAAAGACAATGTACTTGTTCCTCAGTCATTACGTCGTCGTCAACAATTTTTTTTAGCACGCAAAGTAGTTCGTTCCTTTTAATTTCGGCCGCTGAAATAGTTGCAAGTACAGTTGGCACACCATATTGTCGAATCATAGCCATTGAATTCTTTTTTTGGTTTTTCCAATATTCGGAGGGAGAACGCACACCAGATAACGTCTTGAATGCTTGGTCTTTGCTCAAAAGTAAGTTTACATTATCTGCGTTACCAACATCCTTAGCTGTAAAAGGCATGTTACCATTATCAGTGCTCTTTCGCTTTGTTAAAATTGTGTTAATGTTAGAACTCATTTTCAATAATTGGGTCTTGCGGTCCATAAACAATAGATAATCTGCTCTTTCTCCTGCTATTCTATCGAATCTTCTGGCCATAGATTTTGTCACGGATAAATATGAAATGGAATTTAACCCCTTTATCTTGGTACCAAAAAATTTTTTCAGAAAAGACAAAAAATCGCTATCCTTATCTTTTAAAATTGATAATGGGACTCTTCCTTCACCAAGTTCAAATCTAATATTAAAGTCGTTGTCACTTGATAAAATAGAGTCTGTTGCTCCAGGATTCAAAGGCTCATCCTCAATATCATTATTTTCCCCGATATTTTTATTTGGCTCATCTCCCTCATCATTATCTTCATTTTCTTCGACAACTAAATTCGTTGAATCCCATTCAGTTTGATCTGCTAATTGAACTTCGTAACGTGCGATCGGACTTAAATGTTCCAAAATTTTAGACATTTTTTCAAGAGCTTCAGACGACTCAAAATTAAAGATATCAACTTCGACCTCCCCATTTATTGTTAAGTAGATGTTTATGAACAAAAAATGGGGAGGTCGAAGTTGATATCTTTAATTTTGAGTCGTCTGAAGACTCTCAAAGTTGGTCGGTTTTTAAATTTTTTGGCTGGGACTTGGCTGTAGGGGGGAAATATTGAAAGAATATGGTCTATGTGTGTTAATAATTTAAATACCGATCCCAGTTAGTGTAACATACAACAACGAATAATATAGCGCCTACAGTTACTAAGTTTCTAGTATTTTCTGTCAAATTCTTTTGAATTTCCGGCTTTAGTCATAACAATCGGATTAATTTCGAAAAGATATTCAAAGACGTTCAGAAGGCCCAAAAATAAATATATTTGAAAACGGAAAGAAGGTCAATAATATTTATATGTTTAGGAACGATATTTGGGGAATTGGATTACTACTTTCCTTTTCAATTTGATTGCAAATGCATTGTTACTTTTTCGGTATTTATAAGAGAGGCGTAGTCTTAATTTTTTCCCTGGGTAAACAAAACCAGGCCTGAATGTCAGTCTTGAATGATCTTCCGAAGCTCAAAAAATTATCGGATCAAAAAACCCAAAGTAGATGCATACTAATATAACATACATTAATATTATTTGGGGTTCTTCAAACATTCTTATTATACGTTGTTCGTAAAAAAGTGACATTCTTGTTATCCATCTATTTTGAAATCAAAATCAATCATTATTGGACAAATTATGAGACGTCTATGGTTATCAATCATTGCAGAGCCTTCAGAAGCTCCAAAAATAAAGATATCAAAAAAATAAAACTTGTGAAATGTTGTTAAAACATATATTAACATTATTTGGGGAGACTTCAAGTAGCTTTTTATGTCATATACTAACATTTCGAACATGATGTAAAACAGGGATTTGATATTATTTATACTGCGACTCGGCAAAACTCGCGTTTAAATTTCTGGACCAGAAAAAAAACCTTTTTTATTTTATTGTACTACATACTACATCAAAATGCCTGCACCTAGTAAAAGAACTTTAGCAAATCGCAATAGATTAAGAGATACAACTGGTAAAATTATGGAACAAACATCTGAAACTATCGAAGAAGATTGGATTGTCTGGGAAGAGGATACCAACGACCTTCTCAATCATACGGAGCGTATTGCCACACCAATAAACATCAATGAAGCACTTTTCGATGATGGATCATCTTCCAAAAGACCTAGAAATGGTCATTACAATAAGACTTCAGCAGTAACCATTTGGAGAAAAAAAAAGCAAGCAAAGACTGTCGAACCTGCTAATACTATTTTGAATTTTGGTGTCACTATTTCTTACGACTCTCGCGCTGAAGAAAAAGAAGAGTGCGTGGCTCATACCAAGAAAGAGCTTGAAAAAATTAGAGTTTTGTTCAAGGATATGCCAATTATTGCTAAGCCAGTAATGAACAAATCACTCGATGGTAGTAACGTGGATACATACAATCATATCCGCTATGTGTCTGTTCAGCAATACTTTCAAAACCGATTGGAAGGTTTGAAAAAACACGAGGCAGCTAAGAAATCAGCAAATTCTCTTTGGCCCAATTGCTCCAAATTTTACAGACATAAAGCAATTATCAAGTGGGCAAATGAATACCTTGAAAATCAAGTCTTGTCCAACCATAGTCAAGGTGTTCATGCTAAACGTGTCTCTTTCTTAGCTGATAACGACGTTAAGACCAAGGTTTTGGATATGATCAAGAAGACTACTGCCAATTACAGAACAGTAGATAATACTAAAAACTTTATCGATGAGGACGTTATTCCTGCCACTCTCGGTGTTACTGGTAGCGTTGGTAAAACTACGGTGGCCAGATATCTTTACGAATGGGGCTATTCTTACCGTAAAAACAAAAACGCTATTTTTTTCGATGGTCACGAGAGACCTGATGTCGTCGAATATAGACAAGCTTGGAGTAAACACATGTTAAAATACATGGAGCGCTCTGAATTTTACCAGGGTGACAACCAAAAAGAGGTATTGGAACCTGTTTTGAAAGATGGTGAAAAGAAGATTGTTTTTGTAACCCACGATGAAAGCACTTTTTATGCAAACGATGGAAAAAGCCACTTCTGGCTTACTATCGGCGAAAACTACATTCGTAAAAAAGGGCCTGGATCTTCCATCATGATCAGTGAGTTCCAGTGCCCTTGTCATGGAACGATGAAGAGTGGCGCTTGGACCTCAAGAAGGTACTTTAAGGCCGGTGGTGATAGAGAAGGTTGGTGGACCTATAAACACATGGTCGAGCAGCTCAAAGATGACGCAATTGAGCTTTTTGAGCTGCTCCATCCCGATTGCGTTGGCGTATTTTTGTTTGACAACAGCTCAAACCATTCCGCATTTGCTGAGGTTGCTCTGGTTGCATCAAGAATGACATTGAAGGAGAAGATATGGCCAGTAACTGAAAAATTTCAGTTTCGTCCTACGACAGTTACATTGACTAGCGGAGAGGTTTTAAAGCAGGACTTTTTTTTTGAGAAGGTGAGTACTCTTAGAGACAGAAAGGGGAAAACAATTACTCGTAAAGAAAGGTACTTTAAAGGTAAATAATTGATTATGTTGAAATAAGAGTATACGAGTAGTATTGGCGGGATAAGGAGTATTTCTTTAAATAAAATAGAGTTTAGTAAAGAAGGTCTTTATAATTGCGAGTTGAGTGAGCACCACAGCTAGTTTAAACAGAAGCTGAACTGTTAGAAAATAAATGGATTTAAGTATAGCTTATATGCTTATAAATAAAAGATACAATGATAAAAGTGTAATCAAGGGATCAATCAGAATGATAATAGAGCTGAATAATATATAAAACTAATAAGTCAAAGTGTTGAAATATGAGTAAAATAATAGATGAGGATTTTTATTTAGGAGAGGTCTTATGGATGCCTATTTATAGTGATGGACGTATAATCCAGTCACTGAAATTAAAGAAATTGGGGAAATTTATACAAGAGATTGAGGTAATTGCGCCTACTAAGAGGTCACAGATCTGAGGATAAGAAAAAGATGAAAAGAAGTAGTTTTGACAGGTGCAAACCCGAAAAGGTGTATTGCACTTTAGTAGGTGTTTAAAAAGAAAGAAAAATTGGAAATGCGCTCGATTTGTCGCATAACATTTCCTGGGGGTGGGTAACATTATGCCCACATAATGGAGATAATAGTGAGTATAGAAAAAAATGGGTTTATTAAAAAAAGGGAAAAAATTATAGATTCGCGTGTATAAAGAAACAACAGAGGCAGAAAAAAAGAGAAAGAAAGGGAAAGGAAAAAGGGAAAAGGAAAAAGGAAAAAAAACGGAAAAACCACAGAGGGAAAAAAAGTAACAATAGAATTTGACAGTTTATACTCATGACGGAGTCAAAGTTAATCCTTGATAGGGTTATGTAGGGGTGACGTCCAAGTGTCATTCTTAGCAAGCTTTTTGGTTAGGCGAGAAAAAAGGGTAGGAACATTGGCAGTGCATTCCTTCAGGGTTAAAAAGCGGGAGTATAAGTAGGCATCTCGTTGAGTTTTGGTAGTGGGTTTGACATTGTGGCGATGGAGATAGCTGAGAAGAGGTTTTACGATTTCTTGTAACCAGGCGCGTTCCAGCATTTTAAGTTCATGATCCGAACGACATTCCCTTACAATAATGAGCTCTAATTCTTCCTTGACACTCACCATGGTGGACACCGTGTTATCACTGGGGAGGTTGTATGGGGATGTGTCGTTGTTTCTAGCTTTTTTCGACTTACTTTTGATTTGCTTGGCTACCCCACGAATCTGGATTTCAGGTCTAGGCGGGTTATGGGAATTTGTAGATGATACCTTATCTCTAACTACATCATCATCGGAAAGAGGGTAATTGTACACCATTTGTTTCTTTTAGGTGGGTAGTGTGAGATAGTTGAGGATAAATAAAATGGGAAAGGTGTTGGCGATGGGACGTTTATATACAGATGGGTGAAAAATTAAATTTTCTTTATCTTAATTGAATCTCGTCAAAAGATGGTCCCAATTGGCGGAGAGTTGATAGTGTAATTTCAGGCGGTTTCCGTGGACGCGACGCAGTTTAGTGTCCGTAGGTTCCATATTTTTTGCGAGGTAAGTGCCTTTACCCAAAATCTGATGAATAATGAAGGGTCCGTCCCATCGAGTCTCGATCTTTCCGGACCAGGAAGTGGAGAGGTAGTCCTTATAAATGTAGACTTGATCGCCTAACAAAAGCCCGGGCTTGAACTCTTTCCCTCGGTTTAGTAAGGTCTTATCAATAGGTTTGATTTGATTGGCTTGGGATATCTCAATGCATTTTTGTGCTGATCGTCTTACTTGGTGTAAGAGCGCTATATGATTGTTTAGTCGGTTGTTCATTTGGAGACCGACGTCTGTAGTCCCAGGATCGAGATTGGATGGTTGGATATCGAAGGGGGTGGAAGGATCATACCCATACATCATGAAGAAAGGTGATTGTTTGATGGTTGCTTGTTTAATGGAATGGTAGGCGAATATGGTTGGCTCTAAGTATTGTTCCCAATCCTTCTTTTCAGCGGTGGTCCTTCTCTGTAATACTTGGTCTACGATTCTGTTGAATCTTTCGACCATTCCTTGTGCTTGACTATTATATGGGTTGATGGTTTTGTGAATAATTTTGAATTGATGACATACTGCTTTGATGGTATCAGATATCATGGGCTTGCCATTGTCAGTGTGACAGTACTTGATTACAGAGTGTCGACAGATGACTGAATTTAAGAATTTGGCGACGTCGGCAGAGGTCTGGGTGGTGAGAGCTTGGCATTCGACATACTTGGTTAAATAACAAATAGCAACGATGATGTATTTATATCCGGAGCGGGATGTGGCTACGTGTTTGACGTCTATTCCGACCCTTTCGAATGGCTTAGCTGACACATCAATCTTGATAGGATGTAGTTTCTCGTTTAGGAATTTTCCTCCTTGTGTCTGGCAATATTCACATTGACGGGTGTAATTCATGATATCTTTGGCCATGGTGTCCCAGTAGTAGTATAGGCTAATTTTGTAGAGGGTATTGCTATAGGCAAAATGTCCTCCCATGGGGTGGTGATGGTAGATGATGAATGCATCCAAAGATTCTTTGAGTTTTAACACTTTCTTTAGTGAATGATTATTGTTAGGGTTGAAGCGGTATAAGATTCCTTCTCGAATGACGAATTTATCAGCATTACGAGTGAGATAATTTCTTTGTTGTTTAGTAACCCCTGGGGGATACTGTAAAGTAGTTAGATAGTTGGCGATGAGTATTATTAAAGTTGTGTCCATATTTGTAGTAATTATAAGTGTTTGAGTTGGGTTGGGTTTATTACAATAATTGCACTTCACAGGAGGTAAACAGAATGTCAATGAAATTTGATTGGATTTTAAATTGTTTTTGATTTATTAAGATTTTTAAAGAGAAACTGATATTCATGATAGTTTGATTTTTTTTGATGTGATTATATTCTATAGATTTTTTGTATTGTTTTTGGTTTCAGATGATTAAGTGGGGTTCTTGATGTAGTCAATGAAAGCTTTTAAAGACATTCAGTATTATTGGTCTAGATGAGTTTTGATTACTACACGCCATTAGTAAAGTAACAGCATTTAATGACTTCATGCTTTTTGGTCGTGGTTACTTCTTTATAATTTATTCACCAGTTCTTGATAGGGCATCGGCTGCTTCGTTAATTCGGCCGGGTCGGTACACTATGGTATAGTTATAATCTGATAGATCTTCGATCCACCTTGCTATGATCCCGGAAGGTTTATTGGTTTTCAGTAAAATATTTAAACATGCATGATCTGAAATGATCGTGACGAGAAACTCCGAAGATAGGACATACGGGCGGAATAGTTTCAGTCCCCAAACAATTGCGGCCATTTCCAATTTTGATATGCCGTAATTTTTCTCTCCTGCTGATGTGGACCTACTTGCGTAAAATATAGGGTGTTCATGACCTTCTTCGTCTAGCTGCGTTAGAATTGCAGATAATCCCACAATGGATGAATCCGTTACAATTACAAATGGCTTTGCGAAGTCGGCGATTCGTAATACTGGTGCTTCGGTTAATTTTGTTTTTAGTGTTTGAAAGGCCTCGTCGGCTTCAGGAGTCCAAGTGAACTTTGTGGCGGCATCCTTCTTCGTTAGTTCGTGTAGAGGTCGAGCGTGCTTAGCAAACGCTAATATGAATCGGCGGTAGTATGAAGCTAATCCAATAAATGAGCGTACTTCTTTGGCTGATTTGGGTGTTGGGAATGTAGCAACGTTCTCTGTCAAAGCTGGATTGGTCTGTACGCCTTCCCCTGAGATAACAAATCCCAAGAAGGTGATTTTCTTCGCAAAGAATTTGCACTTCGTAGGGTTGAGTTTGAATCCTCCAAGTTCCGTACAAGCGAACATTTTTTCAATGGCTACTAGATGTTCCTCTGGTGAATCACCAGTATAGGTGGTGACATCGTCTAAATAGACGCATACTGTCTTTCCTACGAGACTGTGAAAGGCCAGATTCACTAGACTGTTGAATCTACTGGGTGCATTGAGGAGACCTTGGGCAAGTGTGCAGAATTCATAGCTCCCGAATTTGCAAGTGAAATTTGTAAAGTGGCGATCGCTTTCTCTGAGGTTCATGTTGTGAAATCCACTTCTCATATCTATTTGGCTAAAAAGTTTGGAAGATCCCAAAACGTCGATCAAATCGTCAATTCTTGGTAAGTTGTGGCAGGCTGCAGCTCTAACAGTTGCATCATTGAGTTTACGAAAGTCCACAGTTACTCGATAAGTGCCATCCTTTTTCTTTACCATTACAATATTGCTTGACCAGTCGGAATATTAGCTTTTCCTGATGATACCAAGTCGTAGGAATTTGTCGATTTCTTTTTGTAGATATTCGGATTCCAGTGGTGATAGTCGGTAAGGTTTAGCACGATACGGGACAGCATCGGGTTTCAGTTTAATATCATACTCCATTAAATCAGAATGGCCAATTGAATCGTTATGCCAGTCGAAGATATGTTTGTATTTGTTCAATAAGATTAGGAATCGAGTCTTGATTGATTCTGGTGTGTCAGTGATGTCTATAAGTGACTGCAGATCTATATCTAGTTCGTTCAATGATGTCTCTTTATCTTCTGAGTTAATGCTGCATGATAGTAATTGGTGTATGGTAGTTGTGTCGTCGCAATTCATAGTGTAGAATTCGCAGCTTTCATCATCTTTATAAAGTGGGAATGCGTTCACCTCCCCCAAAAATAAATCATGGTCCACCATGATATCATCATCGGTATCATTATGTATTTGTAGCAGTAATTTCTCCTCATTATCAATAATTTTGATTTTGATTTGACTGTCTTGGTTTCGGTTGAGGTTTACTTGATAATTAGCAAAGAAAGTCATACGGTATCGATAATCTTCAATGTTATCGAATTGTGAGTAGGGTGAGAGCGGTATGGAAAGTATGCTCCTCGGTTCGATGTTGACGTCTTCCTGTGAATCCATATGTATCGCGTAACGAAACTCTTCTTCGTTATCATGTGTTACAATGTTGATTTGAGGGCTGTCTCGTGTGATTGACAATAGCTGTGTTACATTTAGATCTTCGTCCTCACTACTTGAGATATCATCATTTTCAATAAAATCTTCTTCTGTGGAAGATTCTTCAGAAGAGGTATCGGTATCATCGAAGTAAACATTTGAGGTCGGTTTCGCTTGACCTGTTATCATATTTGGATCAGAGTATTCGGAGGTGTACATGGTAGGTACGGAAGAAATAATTAAAGGTGCTTCGTCTTGTGCACTTCTTCTGTAATAAGCAATGGGAACTTCAGCTTTCTGTGTCTTATAACTTACAGCTACAAGCTTTTTCTCCATGTTGATTCTAGCCTTTGCTCTATTCAGCCAACTGGTACCAATAATTAGATGTGAGGGACAAATGGGTAAAACTTCCACCGTTCCTGGAATAATGGCTAACCCACCGATATTGAGTGGAACATCATAAATTAGTCCAAGAGCAGGTTGCTTAACTCCATTTCCCATAGTAAATACGCTATCCGAAGGGGCATCAATTGCTAAGTTTAATTTAGTAGCTAAACTTGCGGCCATACATGTCCTCGCGGCACCGGTATCTAGTATTGCCGAGATTAATGTATTATTGATGTAGACATTTACATAGACTGCTGTTGTATCAACATCACCATCTTCCAGTAAAGTAAGATCCATAGTACGACGTTTCTTATTTGGTTCGTGAGTTTGACTGGTGGTTCCTAGATACGGATCTATCTTTCCATGTGTCAGTGTAGATTTCTTTCCTTTGATTCTGTCGTATTTCCTCCAATAAATATCGTATAGAATGACCTTCAATGTGGTTAAATTATAATATTCGAGTGGTACTCTCATATTACCAGTATAATCTTGTTACAGATTATATATTGGGAAATTATATTATTATTGGTTGTTTTTGATTCTCATTAATCTGTTACTGAAGTGTCAGCTAATGAGAATTTTTCACTTAATAATTTGGGCCAATCAATATAAGAAAGTATTGATTGACTTAAGACCATGTAATTCTAATTGCCATGTTTCAGAAGATAGAAACAAGCCACTGCCTATTCCTTACCAGATTCAATCTCCCAGATGTTTGATATAAAAAGCGTCCTCCCTTTTGCGATGACTTTCTCTCCATAACTTTAATAAAGGATTAATAGAGACTCATTTCTTATTACTTCTTTTTATTCTGTTTTATCTATTTTTAATATCTCAAACATCACATTTTTTTAAATGAATTCTCCTGTTAATACCAACCAACCCGCTGCTGCTTTCCAAGGTGCCCCTGCTCTCATGGTTACTTACTCATCTTCCTCTGAGTCTGAGTCCTCTGGTTCTGAAGCTGGCTCTGGTCAAGAATCTTCTTCTGGTTCTGGTTCTGATGTCGTTTACCATGATGGTAACGATTCCGACAGTATGGATGTTGATAACGAGGGTACGCCCGCTACTCTTCATTCGGGTCAAGGTGAAGATGCGTCTTCTGTAAGTCCAGTCGTAGACTCTGTTGAAGGGTCGGATTACGCTGGCCAAATCAAGGCTTTGCAAACCCAAATTGACGGGGATGCTGCTAAGATAATCCAACTCACTGCCGTCGGCGACGAGTTGTTGCATAACAAGGGTGGTAATTTCGCTGAGTTGCCAGCATTATTGAATGCTAACCTTGCTATGATGGACTATTTGAATAAAAGGGTCAGTGGTGCTCGTGAGTCGTTGGTGTCCTTGAAGAAACAAGAAGCCAGTTTACTTGAAGTAACAAGTCGTACGAACAAGCTATCAATCAAGGGTTCGAAGAAGAAGGAATTGGATCATACCGCTGTCAAGGCTAAGGATCTCCCGGTATTCAACGTTCGACCTATGAAGGCCCGCAAGATGAATGGTGAGGATGATGTTAATGACGAACATATGTTGTGCAACTTCGTTTTGGCTTTCGAGAGAGCTTATAAGAACGTAAATGTCAACGTTAATAAACATTGGTATCCCCACTTGGAAGGCTGTCTGGAAAAGCGTCTGTCCTCTCGCTTCTGGTTCGACAAAGTAATCAAGCCTGAGTACAAAGCTGATGAAAAGCTCCACTGGTTGTCCGCTGTCAAGATGATGCAAGACCGGTTTGTTATCTCGTCCGATAAAGGGATCCAAAAGGATAATGAGGTTCTGTTTGAAAACGGGGCTATTGGTCCAAAGGATACTCTAGTGGAATTTATCTTCAAGTACAGCGTCTTGGAGATCAATGGTAACATCTCTACGAAGGACAACTACCTGTTCACGGCGTGTTTCATCTGGAACTTGAAGAACGAAAAACTCAAGGCGAAGGTGATGGATGCAATGTCCGAGTATATGAACAGTACCCAGCAAGGTGTAAGTATCCATGCTGCAACAACCGACGAGGCCTTTTGCGAATTCTATGCCGACTTTGGGAATGTAACCAAGGCAATTTACCGCAAACTGACAATTCTTGAACAATGCCTGGAAGAAGAACGAGAAAAGATTCCTTCTTTTGCTGGTGCTGGTTCCTCGTCTGGTTCAAGCCATGAAAGGTCCAAGAAGAGAAAGACGAACAACTCTTCCGGTGCTCGTGTCAGCCCACCTTGGTCTTCTTCTGCTCCTGCTCCTGCTTCTTCTTCTTCGTCGGTTGGATCTGTAAAAGATCATAATATCAACTATGACTTGGTTCGTTTGGATGAAATCTACAAGCCTTCCCACCATTTGAACGCCGATGAAAGAAATTTTCTTTTCAAGATGAAGAAATGTTTGAACTGCAGAGTGGCTCCTTTCTCTCCTGCTCACTTGGAGACTTGTCCTGCAAGAAAGCACTACAAGGTAAATAGTAATACAATGATTGATAACAATGACGACTTAGCTTTGTCTGATGTTAACGTTTTATCTAATCATATTAACAATAACGATGAATCTAATTCTAACTCCTCTAATTCTTCTAGAAGCACTAAAGTTGAACGCTACGATGATGATGATGAAGTGAATTTTGGTGATGATGAAGACGAATTCCAAGCTGTTTATAGAAGCCTGGACGACTTTATTTGCACTGATAATGATGAAGTTAATTTTTCTTATAATAAAAATATCTTTGCCATAAAAATTAACAATGATAGAAATGTATTTATTAATAAGGGAAAAAGTTTAAAGGGCTCGGATGATTTATTTAATTCCGAAAGTGTGGCTTACTCACCCATCACCCCTATTATAATTAATTCTGTAAAAACTTACTGTACCCTTGACACAGGTGCCCAAGTTTCTATTATTGATAAGCAGTTTGCTATTGATCATAAAATTCAATTTCATGCAGTAGACGGACATTTATGTTTGTACGATGGTACTAGAATACCCCGTGAACAGTCTGTGTTACCTTTAAGTATTGATTACGATGGCGTAGAACACGTTGTTTTACATAAGTTCGATGTTATCGACAGTAAAGCAATGCCTTCTCCTCATAACCAAATCTTAGTCGGAACAGATCTTATGCCTAAATTGTCGATCCATTTAGTTAATGTTGCACATAAATATAAGGACACAACAAAGTCAGTTGATGATTCAATCTCTGATGTGGCGTATACACCCAACGTTACTCCTTATGGTAGTGAAGAGGAACAATTAGCGTTTCACACTAGTTTAGAACCTTATATCGAGGCTAACAAGAAACTTGATCCTAATTCATTTTGTAATTTGCCTGAGAGCGTTTTACATTTACCAACCCCTGACGATTATTCGGTCAACATACGTCAGTATCCTATCGCCTATAAATTGCGCCCATTGGTAATGGAAGTAATCAACGATTGGGTACGAGATGGTATTGTAGTTAGAGCTACTCCATCTGCGTGGAACCTTCCTATTACGGTTACTATTAAAAAGAACCATGAGTCTGGTACAGTCTCTTCGGATCTGAGTAGTTTGAAGAAAGAAGATGTCAGAGTTGTTCTTGATACAAGAATGCTGAATAAAGCACTTCCCACTATCAATGAAACCCAACCCTTGATCAATGATATATTTTCCACTGCCATGGATGGCTGTGTTGTATTCAGTACAATTGATTTAAAGTCTGCATTTTCACAGTTTCGGGTAAACTATGACGATCAGGTTAAAACAAGTTTTACCGGTCCTGATAACCTTAAATACATGCATGCTGGTAGCCCTTTCGGCGTCAGTACGATTAGTCAACTGTTTAGTTCAGTAATTCTTTCGTTATTTAAGGATGTTCAGTATATAAGATCGTTCGTTGATGACATTTGTGTAATGTCTCGTTCAATCGAAGCACACTTTCATCATGTTAAACATGTACTTACAGTCTTAACGACAGCTAACCTGCGTGTTAACTTTCGTAAGTCTCATTTTGCTAAAGCAGAGGTTTATCTTCTTGGTTTTTCTATTTCAGAAAGAGGTCGTCGTATCGATACTCGAAAGCTGACCAACCTTGATACTTATCCTCGACCAACTACGTCCAAACAATGTCAGTCATTTTTAGGGTTTGTCAATTATTTTAGACAACATGTTCCTAATGCTGCAATGTTAATGGCACCCCTTGACTTTCTTCGTTCTCACGATCAAAAGAATAAAGGAAGACCTTTTCAATGGACTGCATTACACGATATGCACTTTCGTACTCTGAAAGAAATATTAGTTTCAGATGTGGTGCTGAGTCACCCGAATTTAGATCACCCATTCTGTATTGCTACAGATGCTTCCGATTATGGCATTGGCTGTTGTTTATATCAAGAATATAAAACCACCACTGCTGATGGTAATGAAAAAACTATCATAAAACATATTGGATTCTTTTCTCGTAAGCTGTCTGGGTCAGAACAACGTTATTCTTGTACGATGCGTGAACTTTTAAGTTGTATCTTTGCATTAAAGCAATTCCATAAATTTGTATGGGGTACACACTTCACCTTATTTAGTGATCACAAAGCTCTTTCATACCTTCACACTCAAAAGCATTCTAATTCCATGATGATTAAATGGTTGGATACCATATTGGATTATGACTTTAAAGTTGTGTACTTAAAAGGTGTTGATAATATTTTGCCTGATGCTTTATCCCGTCTCTATCCGCCAAAGGAAGACGACGGTGAAGGTTCCCTTCCTAAATCGAAACAGTTACGTATCATGTCTCGTGGTCGTAATCATGTACATTCAAACCAGATCAATCTTTCTAAGAAAAATCGTCATGTGAATAATATAAAGTTTAGCAACGGTATCAGAAAAAATGAATCAGTGGCTTGTAATTGTGCTTCGTTTCGTGAAGTTAGTTCATCGACGTCAGATAACAAGGATGAGAATCATTGTTGTGACGATCCCGTTTCCATCGAGGAACACAATAGTGTGTATGTTAATAATGTTACTACTGAGATAGACGAACATGACATAGATCACACGAATTATTCTGCTGTTAAGCAAGTATTTTACGTTCAAAGTGGGCAAAGTATCCATGCAGATTACTTAATCGCTCCTGAAGAAGAACGTCAAGATCTTTTAGATGATGCACATAATAAAGTAGGACATTATGGTGCTGAGCAAATCGTAAAACGAATTCATAGTGAAGGGATCCATTGGCCACATTTAATCGATGCTTGTATTGAATTTGTACGTAAATGTAAGGAATGCCAAAAGCATAACATACAAAAACGTGGGTATCATCCTTTGAGACCTATTTATAGTTGTCTCCCTGGTGATCATTATGCACTTGATTTAGGTGGTCCATTAAATACAACCTCAATTACTGGTAATAATTATTTTATGGTAATTTTGTGCGTAACCACTAGATTTTGCATTTTACGTGCCCTTCCTGATAAGAAAAGTTCCACTGTTCTGCGTTCGCTTGTTGAGGTGTTTTCCATAATTGGATTCCCGCTTGTGTTACAAACAGACAACGGAGCGGAGTTTAAACATTGTCTTGCGAAAGATCTCGCTGACGCCATGGGTTTTGATCATAGATTCATTACGCCACTGCATGCAAGTGCAAATGGTATCAGTGAACGTTACGTTCAATCAGTTAAAAGACTACTTGCTAAAGCAACGCGAGGTGTCGGTAATGATTGGGATTTACATTTAAATGCTGTTCAGTTAGCTTTAAATAATCGTATTTCGAAGAGATTAAACTCTACGCCCTTTTCTCTCATGTTTGCGAGAAAAATGATCGAGCCATACGGATTCCGTAAAACTCTTTCTGTATCACCTGAACAACGTAAGCCTATGTCTGAAGAGGAATTGATCAAAAGAATCGATTACATGACAGATATCGTGTTTCCTGCTATTACAGCTAAAACCATGGCCCAAATTGAAATTGAAAAAGCTAAATTTGACAATAAGCATCAATTAGTAGAATATCCTCCTGACAGTCACGTCATGATTAGAATACCTACTAAAGCTGGTCAATTAGCGCCTTCCTATACTGGTCCTTATACAGTTGTACGAAAGAACCGTGGCAACTCGTATATATTACGTGATCATACCGGAGCATTAGTGCCTCGTAATTACACATCGAGAGAACTCAAACTTATTTCACACGAAGAAGTTATTGAGTTAGATGATGAAGGTAATGAAATTAAAAGTTACGAAGTTGAAGCTATTCTTAACCATCGAGGTACTCCCACCAAGCGTGAGTATTTAGTTCGTTGGAAAAATTATGGTAGTGAGTGGGATGAATGGATTGACCAAGATCAGTTTAATGCTACGGACACTTTAAGAACATACTGGAAAAAAATCGGTATTCCTTATAAGCCCAAAAAGTCTAACGTGATCACAAATTCTCCCACGGCTTTGGATGTACTGAAAAAGAATCCACCAGGATCTATTTCTACGGTATTGGATACTCTATCTGACGATGACGTCGAGAAAAGTACTGATATTGCACCATCTACTCCTCCTTCAAGTAAAAATGGTAAACGTTCTTATCGTAAACGTGCTCACAAAGATGTTGCTTCGTTACAACATAAACGTGTGCGCCCAAGTTCCAGTGCTGTCCGTCGTTCCAAACGCGGAGTTACTAGTCCTAAATAAGCAACAACCCCAATTTTTTTGTCTTGTTGATCACTGATCGGCATGAATTTTTTTATATTTTTGAAATATTTTTTTTTTTCCTTTTTTGATCTGTTGAAGTTTATTCAGTAGTCTGTCTATATCTTTGAAGGGTAATTCTATTCTGGTAGGGGGCAATGTCGTATTTCCTCCAATAAATATCGTATAGAATGACCTTCAATGTGGTTAAATTATAATATTCGAGTGGTACTCTCATATTACCAGTATAATCTTGTTACAGATTATATATTGGGAAATTATATTATTATTGGTTGTTTTTGATTCTCATTAATCTGTTACTGAAGTGTCAGCTAATGAGAATTTTTCACTTAATAATTTGGGCCAATCAATATAAGAAAGTATTGATTGACTTAAGACCATGTAATTCTAATTGCCATGTTTCAGAAGATAGAAACAAGCCACTGCCTATTCCTTACCAGATTCAATCTCCCAGATGTTTGATATAAAAAGCGTCCTCCCTTTTGCGATGACTTTCTCTCCATAACTTTAATAAAGGATTAATAGAGACTCATTTCTTATTACTTCTTTTTATTCTGTTTTATCTATTTTTTAATATCTCAAACATCACAGATTCGACAACCCGAAATTAACTGTCGCTTTAATTGCGGTGACACACTGATGAGATCCCCTACATCAATATTGGCTTTTTGGTTGAGTACATCGCTTACAATATCATACTTCAAGGGTAAAGCTTGACGAAGTGTCCTTGTCTTCAATGTCTTGGGTAATGTCGGCTCCTTAGGCCGTACACTTTCCAATGGTTCTGAAATCATAATTGTGTCGGGATCAGGCCGTACAAATGAAGCTACGGGTTCCATTACAGTTCCTGTAGGTATGGTAGTAGGTGCTGGTAAGGCCTGGTCCTGTTGGGTACTCCGGGTGATGGTAGGTGTGAATTTGATCTTGCGACCATTAGCATCACGAGGTTTACTGTCCTTACTGACCTTGCTCGGATTATCTCTGGAGTGTATCTGAGGGATCAGTGAAGGTTGTGTAGCAGAGGAGACACTAGGTCGACGTGCAGCGTATAGTTCGGGATGGTTGTTATTTTGATTAAGTGGTTCGGCGTGATGATTAATATTGTTCATGGATTTGTGATTGGGATTCGTTGACAACTGACCATGATTAGCAGTATTGGTAGTTACAGTTGTCGAATCTAGTTTTTTGGCTGGTTTTGTGTTTCATTATCATTACGGCGAGAGACATGTTGGTTCTCATTGGAGTTGTTGGTATTATCATATGGGACCTTTTTGACCTCTTGACTAGCGTTTCCATTAGCGTTCTCCCCATAACTATTCCGTCTATAATTAGAGTTATAACTATTATAAGAGTCCTGGTTAGGATAGCTGCGACGATTTTGATAATTGTTGTTATAGTTATTATTGTTTGGGTTACTATTGTTGTTGTTGTTATTGTAGTTGTTGTTACGGGGGTAATTATAATTGGCATAATCTTTTCGATCGTTATTGTCACAACCGCCTTTTCCATAGCGAGAGTTGTCATGTTGATACGAAGGATAGTTGTTATTAGGGGTGAATTGGGCCTGAGTAACATGACCATTACTTCCTGGTACATTAGCACTACTAGCTCCCTTAGAAGAGTTTTTAAGTTCTTCCTTGATGGTACGCTTAATAATGTTGATGATATCCATTTCAGTCATAGCAGATGATCGTTCAGTTGTTTGGTTTGAGTTCAAGTTTGTTTCGATGGTTTTTAACTGTTCCATTTGATGCAGTTTCAATGACCTCAACTGGGCAGTAATTTGCTCAATCGCTGGTTCATAGTTAACTACATCGTGGGTCGCTATACTTCCGTTCGAATTTACACTCTTTGTCTCACCAAAACTTACTTTCCGATTTCTCTCATTACTCCCCATTTTCCCACTTACATTATTACTAACCTTTTGTTCCCATACCGAGGTATTACGATTGTCCACTTCAGGTAAGAAAGGATTTTCAATGAGAGAGACGCCAATTGGTTTGTTGGCATTCCACCAGCCATCAGCATGGGTGACCCAGTCGTCAAAAGTTCTTGAGCTTGATTGTATACAGAAAATACGGATATCACGTATTAACCCAGCGCGAAAACGGCTATGGATCATATTGTCATCTTCTATCTCAGCTAATTCAGCAGCTTCGTACAATCGTGATAAAAAGATTTGGGGTGATGCATTGGTTCCTTGTGCCATATCATTGAATGCGATTTCATAGCGTTGGACCAGTTCAGGAGTGATGTACTTGGATTGGAGAAGATCCATTGCATCTTCATACTTCATAGCCTCTTCACTTACATTTTGTTTCATGAGACGGGAAAGAAAAGTAGCAGCGGAGCGTCTTAATTGGGAAATAAGAATAGTTAAGCGACGAATATTGGAATTGATACCGGTTATAGAAAAGAATGTATCAAGAGTATTCTTGAAATGGCGGAAGTCCTCTCCTTCATGACCATGGAATTCAATGAGACGGGGGCGAAAGCCCTGGTAGGTAGTGTTATCATTGGTATTAGTAGAGTTCATAGTTACTTATTCGGCCAACACAGGAATCGGTATTCGGTGCTTGTAAGGTTGAGTAGTACGAGGGAGAAAAAAAGGAACCGGGTAGATTTCTTGAGATGATAGATTTGATTTGTTAAAAGAGAAAAACCCTGTTAGTGAGCACCAAATGAAATAAGAGTATACGAGTAGTATTGGCGGGATAAGGAGTATTTCTTTAAATAAAATAGAGTTTAGTAAAGAAGGTCTTTATAATTGCGAGTTGAGTGAGCACCACAGCTATTTAAACAGAAGCTGAACTGTTAGAAAATAAATGGATTTAAGTATAGCTTATATGCTTATAAATAAAAGATACAATGATAAAAGTGTAATCAAGGGATCAATCAGAATGATAATAGAGCTGAATAATATATAAAACTAATAAGTCAAAGTGTTGAAATATGAGTAAAATAATAGATGAGGATTTTTATTTAGGAGAGGTCTTATGGATGCCTATTTATAGTGATGGACGTATAATCCAGTCACTGAAATTAAAGAAATTGGGGAAATTTATACAAGAGATTGAGGTAATTGCGCCTACTAAGAGGTCACAGATCTGAGGATAAGAAAAAGATGAAAAGAAGTAGTTTTGACAGGTGCAAACCCGAAAAGGTGTATTGCACTTTAGTAGGTGTTTAAAAAGAAAGAAAAATTGGAAATGCGCTCGATTTGTCGCATAACAATGTTATAAACTTAGGAGATAATTTATCTATTTTTTAATCAGGTATTCGCAATATTCTTGCTGAAAGAAAGCAGTGGTTCGGTGCTGATTTAGAGGGGAAGGATTGGAAGGTGGATTGCAAGAATCCTTTCCCGGGCAGAAAATCTATGTGCTGTGCTAGGCATTTTTTAGCCTGTCGTCCAGATTTTCTTGCCTAAAAAACGGCGCTTCAAGAAACATTGGAGAAGGCGGGTCAAATCTTTGAACTCTACCCCAAGTACCATTGTGAATGTAATTGGATTGAGATGTATTGGGGTGGAGCTAAAAGAGAGGCTCGTCTTCATTGTGATTACACATTCAAATCACTTGAGGCCAAAATTCCCGGGTTTTTGGACAAGGCTGGAGATGTCGCCAAAATCAAACGGTATTTTCAGCGATGCATGAATTATATTGATGCCTACAGCAAGTGTGACGACGGTAGAGAGATGGCTGGTGATGTTTACAAATTTGTAGCCAAAAGTTACCTTTCACATCGAAAGGTAACTTTTGATGAAAACATTTAATAAACTTTTCATTTTTCCTTTATTTTTGACTGAGTTTAAAGAGCTTCTATTTTCGAGGATCTTGGCATGTACAAGCCTACCTTCAGACATCTCAAAAAAAAAAAAGGCACCATGTCACGATTTCGAAAATAAAAATATTGAAATGAAATTAAGGTTTGGAACATTTAAGTCCGATCGCACGTTAAGAATAAAAATTATTCTTGGCATAGCTGGGACTACGCTCGGTTCTTATAAATTTACCATCGACAAATCCGACGCATGACTTGAAGTGGCTTCTTTCGCCTATCTTCTTTGATATATGTTCCCTTTCTTCTGCCGCTGGCCAGTAAACATACTGATCTTCTTTAGCCAGAATTGCATTTATGGTTCTCTTGGTGTAATTGATCACAGTACCTTCTACTTTTAATGTTAGATCATAATAAATCTGAGCGTTTTTTTTGTCATACCAGAAACACCAAAGTAATCGGATACCTGCGTGATTGAAGCAGCATTTTCTTTACATCCCAATCGATGAAAAGTGATCAAGAAATGGAGCTCAATTTTCTCTTTCGTGAAGTTCTCGAACTCCTCATAATCACCAAACGCTCTGACTGCGTCTTTGAAGGCTTCTTTACTCATCCTTATTTTACTTTTAAAGACACTTTCTCTACCTTCGTTTAATAAATCGAGATATGTGCCAGTACGAATACGAGTACCCCAGTTTTTTTTTACGCTGTATCTTTCGGTTTGTAAAGCAAGGTAAAAAGCTGCCATTGTTTCCAGATTCTGTTTTGTCATTGCGATTATGCGACGATCTACTTCGGTCGACTTGGTTTCTCGTTCATATTTTGTAATGAAGAAAAACAGCATTTTTTTAACGTCTTCCATGAGACGTTTTTTAGTTGACAAGAGAGGCATAATAATAATAAAAGTGTTGTTGAAGTGGAAAAGACTAAAGTAATAAATTATGTCATGCTTGATAGCCTTACATCATGTAACGAAATACCAAAATGTTATTGGACGAAAAAAAAGCTGGAATTAATTTTTATTTTGCTGGAGCACTTTTTGCTCCAGCAAATGAAATCACAAAAAGAAATCGGAAAATGCTTGGCCAATAGAATTTATCTAAAATTTGCTGGAAGCTGGAACCTGGAGGCTCGATTTTATTTGAGCGTCCCTATTGCTTACTATTTTTTTTATTTTTACAGCAGAATTAAGCAGATGCATGTAAGAATTTTTCTAATAAAAAGACTGGTCCTTCATTAGCTGGAACATTTTTGGTTTATAAAATGAAAAAAAAAAATGTGAATAAATGGGAGGGGCGATGGGAGGAGGGGAAATAGCGATACCATATAATAAATCCAAAAAATATTACATAAATATAGGACATAAAAGTATCATAATTTACATGGAACTTACGTATACATAACTATATTGTAAAAAATATGGTAAAATAATGGTAATAAAAAGACATTAAAATTGACACTTTTTACCATATTTCTGAACATAAATTTATGTTCTCAAGGACATAATTTTTACAGAAAAAAGCCATATTTTTTTTTGCTGTGCAAATGTCAAAAACAGGTCACTTATATTAGCGGAGGGTTAAAACCTCATGAAAAAAAAATTTTCTCTTTACCCATTTTATTTCTTTTCCAATTGTAAAACAAGCGATAAAATAACTAATTGCACGTATAGCAGCACTATCGTAATAACTCAAGACAGGGGAAACGTCTATTTTTAACATTATTTTACAAGCAAAACTATCATTTACAATAAACTACACGACGTTTTCAATACGTTTTACCAAATAATAAACGATGATTCTATACGAGTTTAAGCAAGCAGTAAGCACGATTTTTGTACAGCTTTTCCTGGGGCAATATGAAAGCGAAAGCCGTATGTGACATGAACGCATTTTTATTCTTCAAAAAAAAAAAAAAAAAAAAAAATGTTACCAGTGGTGCTGAGAGTTGTTGCCCATGGCACACAGCAGTGTAGGTAGTTTGTAAAATGACACTTTGGTAGCTCACAGTGGTGTGGTTAGCTGGTCAGATTCAAATAGTGTGGGTAGCAGGGCCGGATTTCTTTTTTCTGCGCTCAAAAGTAAGAGTACTCTCTAGTCATGACTTTGTCAGCCAATCAGAGGCAAAACACGTGAGAATCACGTGATTTTTTTTGTTCATGAAAAAATTTCTAGGGCCAAAAAAAATTTTTTTTCGTTTTCCTGATAATCTTAATGTTTCGATGTAACGAACATCTCCTGATTTCCTTTAAAGGCCTAGTGGTGCACACGATATAAAAGTTAGTACGATGATATATGGAATTATATATTAAATGAACGCGACCAATAATATGTCGTATGTTTACGAAATGGCTCCAAGAATACTATGTATTCCACGAGCACACGACGGAGTCTGCGGCAAACACTGAGATGATGTTTGGTATGAGGACATAACTAGGCTTGTGGGATATATGATATCGTATATTACATTGCTGCATTCCAAGGTATACATGTATAATGTTTTGTCTGGTATTGCCAGTATCGTATTTCATTGCATGTAGTTTTTTATCTATTATATGAGCTATATGGCGTCTATTATTGGTCTAATACCTTGATTCTGAACAGTTTATAATAGAAATAGCTCTTTATTATTGGTCTTTAGGGATGATAATGGGGTCTTAATTATTATATAAATCTTTATTATTGGTCTTTAGGAATGATAATGGGGTCTTAATTATTATATAAATCTATACTATTGGTCTTTAATATTAATAATGGGGTCTTAATTATTACATAAATCTATACTATTGGTTTGGAAGGCACATTTAAATAAAGCATATTGGACGGATTACGATGAAAAAACGATTTATTTATATAAAAAAAATAGAAAATTGGCTGCAATCGAATACACATACCCTGCATTTAGAACAATAGGGATCGCCCATTTGTATCACCTTGTATCCATTCGTATCACTGTAATTACTGTACATCCATTAATTTTAAGCATGCATCCATCAATTTTAAGCATGCATCCATTAATTTCAAGCGTGTATTCATTGATTTGAAGCATCCATCCATTGGTTTTAAGTGTCCACGCACTGTGTCGTCCATACCTCTAAAATATCCCACTTACAAACACCTTACGTGAATCCATTATCGCATCACTCATTGTCGGCAATGATGTCTGATTACACAAACCATTGATCCAACCATCATCGATCTTCCTTGTCGTCCAAATTTATATCGATCCATCCACTCTTACATACAAACGTACCAGCTGTGTTAATAAGAAACAAGGTAGCCATCAGAATTGCAATTAGGTCCGTGACGGAACATGGTCCACATAGTTCCACTAAAAAATGCATAAAAAGATCTATTGTTTAAAATTAGCTCAAGATTGGTATGTTTACTATTATTGAAGCTTTACCTTGAAACATACGTATCGTGTATTGTTTTCTAAAAGATGAGGTTAATAAATAAATAAAAGAAAACAAAAAAAAAAAAACTCGCTACAATATTATACCTGTCGTGATCGAGGCTATATACTTAATATATGACTCTATCTACACTTCTTAAATCTTTCATTTGATAATCCTAAATATAATTCTTATTGGTACTTTATATTAAATACTGATCATTTACTTTATGTACAGGCTTGATCTCATATGATCCTTCATACAAGTATAAGGCATACATTTAAATAATAACATAATATGAAAACATATGAAGGTTACATCAGCCACGTTGAGGTGCCACAGCTATCTTTAATAAGAACTACATTTTCCCCTGAATGTTGTGCTACAAGACATACACAGTTTAAGAATGAATGTTATTGTTATTGTTATTGACATCTCATTATGGTCTTTCTATATGGGATCATTACATCCGAGTATTATCTGGATAAATCTACCCATAACCGTCATCAGCCCATCTGTGATCAATGTCTGAAATAATGTGTATATAAAGACCCCCTTTTATTTGTTTAATAAAGCTTTAGTTTATTTTTGCAGTTTGATAATTTCACTTTGTTAAATTTTACATTTTTTCTTAATTCGGTATTATCACTCTCGAATTTCTCAATACCTATTCAAGATTACGGGGAATGACGTAGATTTTAAGCTGCTCAAAAAGCGGAGACGACTTCTTTGACTTCTATGCCTACAAGGTATTGGTGTTAATGTAAAGCTAGGAATGAGTCATGTAAAATGTACCATTATCTGTGAGCCAGGGAGAAAAAAAAGCTTGAGGGAAAATAGAAAATGGAAACATGGCTTACTGTTAATTGAATTAGTTTTGCATACGGACAAATAATAGAGTCTTACCCAACAATGTTGTCTGGAAATTAGACGGCAGTTTTTTAAGAAGGGTGGTAAGGAATGCTACTAATTGAAATGGGCGAACACAGATTAGAAGAAACTAACATGGCTTGTATAAGCGTGAGTATATTTGTTACCTCTTTCGATCGACACACTGAACTTAGCAAACTGGCATTATTATGAACTTACGGAAAAGAAAAAGAAATAGAAATGTCGAAGAAGAGATGTAAAAAAAAAATAAAAAAATAAAAAAAACTTTATCATCCTTTAAAAAAGCAAGGTCACACCAAATTTGGCATTTAAAGTCGATCATCATCCCTGGAAATAATAAGCCTGTATTTTACATAAAACATTAACAATGAGCAACAACAATACTCCCCGCCAAAAAAGACCTGACGTCGTCTTGACAGCTTCTCCTAGAGGTCCCGTCTTGAAAAGAAAAATCAAGGAGAGCAAGATTACGCTGCTCTCGCCGCAAAGGTAAACAGCTTGTCTGCCTGTGTTGCCGATCTGCAGCGCAAGTTAGACCAAGCCCCCGCTGCTGGACCAGTTGCCAAGATGAATAGAGGCAAGCAAACCGAGCTCGGTGTAAGATAAATTAAAATATGTATGTTTGAATGATTATTAACAAATATTACAGCGTTTGTTTCATCATGCATATGAACGTTGCGTCAACCAAGACAACATGCCGTTCAATTTGAATGGCTCAATGGTCAAGGACAACAGCCATGTTCGTGATCAAATCATAAAGTATTGCAAGTAATCTGCGTACTTTGACAGATTTCTCCTGTCAAACAAGACTGAGTTCACGAAAAGAGGTAAGAAAATCGTGGAAGGTGTCATTCTGTCCTTCCTGAACAACAAGAAGGTCAAGGCCAAGAATGATGCCAGCCCCCCCCCGACGTGATTCAGCTCAAGAGGGCTGAGAAAAGGGTTGATGAGAGAAGAAGTAGAGTAAGTGATACTTTTAAAATAAATAATATAAAAAAAAATTGCTAAAGAGTACCTTTTTCTTGTTAGAAACTCGCTCGTAGATTGGCCATCTACAAAAGCCATCCTGAGGAAACACCTGCTTTCGCAACGGCTGCCGAATGTTTGAAGGTTTTGGTAGACGAATGCCAGTCGGAAGAAGAGGACGTTCCCGGCGATAAGACATTGCTGGATCGTCAGGTGCCAACTTGGAGATCCAAGAATGTAAGTCCAATTAATATGACAATTTTTAAAAATTACTAACATTTGTGATACCTTCCTTTTCAGTTGAATGATTTCTTCAAAAGACTTGACAAAGTTCATGACAATGAAGCAACAAGAAAATGGGGTGAAAAGGATAGAGTTGATTCTGTGGTTGTAACGGCATTGCATCCTGATATTGAGAGAAAACTTCCTGCTTGGTCCAAAGCTGTATAAAAAAAAAAAAAAAAATTAAAAATACATTTAAAAAAATAAAACAACTTTATTGTTCTATTAATTTTCTATGAACAGTAAAAAATATATTAGTATTAGACAAAACATCAAAGTACATACCAATAGGTGAGTGAATGTTTGCAATTGGAAGGATACAAAGTTCAGACTCGTCTTCAAAAGTATTTTGAAAAACTCCACTGTTGATCGAATTGAACGTGGTGATCAGCGTTTGGTGGGGCTTGTAAAAATGAACAAAAGCAAAGGTGAAAGTGGAGACGACATAAATGTCATCTACGACATGAAGACGTACGTCATGTCTGAAGAAAAATTTAATCTGAGCAGGCCGCAACTGAGGAGACATACCAGCAACGTTGGGGTTGTAATATGCTCTTATAAAACTACCTCGGGCTGAAGCTGTTTCATTTGAGTTGTACTTGTGACCCATGATGCTGATTGTATTGAACTTTACCATCAAGTTGCTTACCCTACTTGCGGGTTGAGTACCGTTCAATAAACAATTATCAAGTTCCACTGATATAGAGCGATAATAATCAACCAGGTGACCAAATTGGGCATATGACAGTCGAAATGGTTTCTTGTTGAACTTTAAATGCCGGATAGTGGTTGGGGGCAGCACTTCATGACCATAGGCTTCACTTGGACTCGTTGTGTCGCCGTATGCTAGGAACGCAAAAATATCGAAAGTAGATATGAACTGTAAGATTTCCGCTTTCAAGATATGTTCCACATAATACTGCCGGGTGGCATGAATATCAACACCGATAAACAAATTCTTCAACCTTGTATCCAAATTGTTACCAAGACCCAATGAAGGGAATGTCCGAGTCAGGTCGACATGATGGACAGTTTTCAAAAAAGTCGACATGACCGTGTGTTCAAACTTGGGCTTTTTGTTTGTACTGACATTCTTGAGGTCCTTATTGCATCGTTCATAAAAGAAGGCCGAATGAGAGCATAAGGGGCCATAATCTTTTATTCCTTCAGCCAAGTGTAACATGTTGTGAGCGTTTGGATATAAACTCTCTTTACCATACAAGCTGGTGAAGCCGATGCAAAAACTTCGTAACAGGCCATGAGCCTTGGTAACATTTTCCTTCGAAATGCTGGTTGTTGACATGAGCTGTACCGCTTCGACAAACAACATCCAGTTTGCATACATGTCAACAGGAAGACGTCCCTTCAGGAGCAAGGGAGACAGACATACGGTGAACACCATATATTCTGCAGCTTTCATGTACGAAAATCCATCTCCAACCAGTATCTTTGTCGCGATTGAACCAGAGTCATAACCAAACGGAAGAATAATCTTGTCACTCATTAAAGCCATCTCTTTTAAATGATTTTTGGTGAGATGACCTTCTTTGATCCAGACCATTGACAAGATTCGTTTAGTTGTGCCCATGTAAAGATTGTGCATACTATCGTAGACTGTAAAACGAACAGGGTCAAAATAGTCAAGCAAATGCAGCTGAGACCATCTTGTACCATTCTCCTGAACCAGAGAGACCCTTTTAGCTTCGGTAGTAGCACGTTTCCACTCCTTGGCATACCTCAAGTTGCTTGCCTTGTTACGACGAGGCCAATTGTGATCTTCCCAGCCAGAATAATCACGACCAGGAAGGCCAGGTACGAGAGCAGGGAAACGCCGATCACATTTCCGACAAGCACAAATGCTGTTAAAGAAAGAAAAACCACATAGCTTGGCGGCGGCAGGAAGATCTGCAACTACGAGAGTCAGTGCAGCTCTTACAAAAACAGACGTATTATCTGGCAAGGACATAGTAACACCAGTTTTTAATAACATCAGTTCTTCAACCAGAGGAGCCAAATAATTGTTGATTTCATCCAACTTGCTTTCCTTCGGACCTGGCATCAACCCTGCAAGCATAACGTACGGTCTTGTGTCACGCATTTGCTTTGGCAAATTAAGGATTGACAAGTAGATGGCACCGGTAGAATGAGAACTGTAGGTGTAATTTTGGTACCAATCTACACCAATAGAAAGCATCAGATTATGGTCGGACTGATCAACAAACGGAGTCGTATCTTGTTCGTCTATCTTGAAGCTCTTGAAAACATCACCATCATACACGTCATAGTAATGGTCATCATCTTTAAGATTTCTTGATTTCCAAGCCTTGACGGAATCGGCAAAATTATCGCGCATATAGAACTTTCGTAATGTTTCAATGATTGAATTGTACATGTACACTGCCCTTGGTAGATACGTTTCAGCTTTTGTGACAGTGTACAGAGGTTCGCCACATGTTCGTGAAACATTACCCAGTTGATCGGTACGGGTAGCAGATTTGCATTTAAAGTTAGCCTGACGGCGGAGCTGGTCGTGCTCAATTGAATAAAGGTTGTGGCACTTTAAACAATCAACGTATTGTTTGACACCGTCGAACAAATAGCTATTCACACCAGATCGGTTTTCGAACGTAGACTTTTTTCGTGGAAATCTATAGCTCATCTCCATTAATTCAAGTGCGACATTTAAAAAACCCATGATAATTTCACTGGCATCTTCAGTAAGATGGGCGTTTAAAAAGAGCATCATAAGATAGAACACAAACGCGAGAGGTTCCGAAGGAAATAATCGTGAATCCGAAGTATCACCAGAAGCAGTGCCGGAAGTTTCACCAGGAGTATCACCAGACGTATTACCAGAAGTGTCTTCATCTTCGTTGGTACTATCCTCGGACTCAGTGTCGCTTACATATTCAGATTCCAGTATAATATCTATTGTTTTTTTTGTAAGACAATTTTAGTATATTGGTGGATATAAAAAACTGTGAATATATACAAGTCTTACCTTCGTCACAATGTTCATCAAAATCATCCGCTCCATGTGGATCATTCATTAAGCTGTCGCCTTCCGCATCGACAGAAGTGGATCCATAATTACGGTTCATAGAATCAACTATTAAAAAAAAAAAAAAAAAAAAAAAGATCAGTTTATGTGTATGTTGTATTTACGGTGTATTTAAGATACATACCTTGTGTTATTCCGTTCGACATTAAATATTGTTTACGTCGTTCTTCACAAACACGTTTATCAGTGTTCCCATAATGTCGTCTGAGAGTTGACTGGCAGACCATAACATAATCTGCGTCCGCCGTGCACGTATCACAGAAGCATGGCCGTTTTGGAGGGGCCATGTTTAGTGCTTATGAGAAAAATAGATAAAATGTATAAATGTGTAAAAGGGGGTTAAAATTGTGAGCACTTTGAAATATAATTTATATCAATGATTAAAGTCGACACATGTGTTGGGAAAGGTTATGTTTCATTTATTGATTTGGCAGGCTAAAAATATTAGGTATAAATGGCGCTTAAAACTCTCCGTATAAAAAAACGAAAACCTCTAGTTTTCTATAAACAATTACATCTTGTGTAATCGTGGGGAGGATATGATTGCTTCTTTTAAATTCTGTAAGATTATTATTCCCAACGCTATTATACTCGACGCAATTAAAAGCTTGTTCCTTTTTTTTTTTCTTTTTTTCTTCATTCTTTTTTTCTTTACTCTTTTTTTCTTTTTTCTTTTTTTCTTTTTTTCTTTAGATAATGTATATCCAAGTCAACGTAGGTGCGATAATTAAGTTAGAAATATCTATATGATAAAGAGCGGATTGTCGATATTGCAAAAGATGGGCAGCGATATCATCAGTAAGAAGCAGAAAGGTAACCACCCTTTTTTCTTTTTGTTTTTTCTTTTTCTTTAACTAGGTATTTGGATTAGGATAATGAGTAGACTGAATAACATTATTTTGGGTGAGGCATTACGACGGATTCAGACCATGTCTATAAAATATTGCTTATCTATAAACAGATCAGCGTCACTATAGTTACTTGGAGGAATGACGATTGGGATAAGGATAAAAAATGAACATCACTATTGGCGCTTATACACTGATGACAGTTATCTTTCCTATTGAATAATCTAGTGAATGTATCATCAACAAGACTGCGTTGTTTTTCTGATAATGTATTATCCAACTTTATTATCATATCCATCATACAAACGACGAAACCGACATCTCACATCCACCGTCTATTTGACGGGAACTTGACCTTTCATGACCAAATTTTGATACGACGTAGATCACAGCTTTACGCATTAGGAGTCCCGAGATCAGTCTTGTACCATGACTTTGGCTCACGATTTCGAGCTGGTAGTATCATCTTTTTTTCTTTTTTTCTTTTTTTCTTTTTTTTTAATAAATCAATACTTTTTGGAACTCAGAACAATCCCCCCATTTATAATAAGCGTGCAAGAACATCAGTTTTAAAGCTATCGCGATGAAAGTAGTACCATTAGAATGAGATTTTTTTTTATATACGTGGGATATTTAAAGTATGGGGAAATAACATTAACTGACAATTTATCGTATCCATTCATAGGCATAAAAAAAATCAAAATCAAAATAAAACCCAGACACAGAGACACCCCCCATCTATTAAAAAACATGTAAAACCATCAATTCTGAAGCTATCTTTACCAAACTAGCACCATTAGAAGGGGAATTTTTTTTGAGACGTCTCTGTATTTTTATGTTAAAGAAATTACCCTTTGATAAAAATCGAAAATTCATAATTATGGCCAGATAAACAAACTTTTTTTTTTTTTGGGGCTTGACCCCCCACACCCCCAATATGACTTCTTTTTTTCCTGTCTTTATTTACCTTTTTTTTTTCTTTTTTTTTTTTTCTTAATGATTTCTAGTCCAACATCATACATTACTTTGCTCATGTTTATAATCGACAACACACAGCCCCGAACACTACAAGTTTAACAAACACAAATTTATTGACCTTTGCATTGGATTTGAAGAAGCATGTACTTTACACCCAAAAACGTAAATAATTGGAGCTTCCATTTTAACAGCATTATAAAAAAGTTTAGAAAATCAAAACGCCTTTTGTCTCCAAATGCAGCTACAGTTTCAAAACAGGCCTAATAACACCTAATGTTCCT